ACATTTCTTAGTTCAACCAGTCCAGCCCATCACAGCGCAGGAACCCATCACAGCGCAGGAACCCACCACGCCACGTACACCGAGTCGCCATTGCCTTCTTCATATTTCTTTGGCAAGGAGGGAGTTCCACTCAAACATTTTTCTTCCCAGAGCTGTTACTTTACAGAACAGACTCCCGAATGGATGCTTCCCCGACCGCTACAATTTTAACCTCTTCAAGTCTTACAGAAACCCCATTTAATAGCAGCAGTCGAGCATGAGTGGACTTTAGGCTTTATATTGTCAGAACAACAGTATATATATATATATATATATATATATATCATACTTATTATAAAACCCAGGTTGTGTGTGTGTGTGTGTGTGTGTGTGCGTTTGTTCGTTTATATATTGGATCGGATTTCCTACATTTTTCAACCGATTTCAACAAAACTTCACAGGATTACGTAACATTACCTTGCGGTGGTTCTGACAACGCCCCAAAATTGGAAAAACACAATTGTTTTTGCACGAAATCAATTTGAAAACACGATTAAGAGGCATCGCTGTCGCGAGAATTAAAGGGGGACAACTCATATCGAGTTATACTTATTATAAAACCCAGGTTGTTTGTGTGTGTGTGTGTGTGTGTGTTCGTTTATATATAGGATCGGATTTCTTACTTTTTTCAACCGATTTCAACAAAACACTTTTTTGGCAGGTAGTGTTTCTTATTGTCTTGCACACTTTCTTTATTTTTACATTCAGAATGCTTTAAAAATTCCATTTACAAGGCAATTGTTTATAATAAAATTCTATTCAATCGGTAGACTCATAACGATTGAAAGCAATGTTTTTGTTTGAGTTTGACCAATTCGTAAAATAACAACAAAAAAAAAAAAAAAAAAAAAAACAAACTAAGACATGCGTGTCCGTCAACCTTAAACAATAATCTTTGTCAATTTTATTTTTCAGTCTTTATGATGGTGGATACTTGATCTATCTCTTACTGTTACATCCCCGGGCAACGCCGGGCTCAACTGCTATATATATATATATATATATATATATATATATATATATATATATATATATATATATAAAATAGTGTATTTTTTTAAATTCTGACAGGGCGGATTTATTTTTGGTAGGATATGTTAAATTGTTTTATTCTTCAAGAAGCATAAATTCTCTTTCATTGAGAAATATTTATTTCTTCTTTCGAGATGAAACAAAGTAAGAGATGAAGTTGGTATTTAATTTTGCGGGGTAGTGCCAATAATAATCTGATTCCTACTTCCTCATAAATTATAAATTGCGAAGTTTGTTATTCAAAGGGGCGATCAAATTTTGACTCCGATACCCTTGTGATTCGTTATGTGAAACATACCACTTTCGTGTAATGGATTACAAATTATTTGTTTGTAGCTTGTAGCATTCAGAACGTGAGCAAGATGATAACGGATAATCGATGCTAACAGACAATCCATCAATGGGAATGACGACTGTTCATTATCGAAATTGCTTTGCGCGTTTCCCAAACCCGAAACACCGTAAATCTTTACCCTTGTCCTTTTCTATTCGATAGTAGATCGTCCCTGTTTGGACAGTCGTGTTCGCACAAACACATTTGCCAGCTCTTACTTCCTTTGTTTGAAGTGACTGTAATGGCAATATTTCGAATTAAATGGCTTGTGCTATTGTTAATTGATGGTAAACATGGCAGACAATTGCGGTGTGAGGTCAATCCGCCACAGTTGATTCTTGTTTGTTATTAAACGTTGTCCTTTGACTTCCGAATTAGGATACAACACGGCTCGCGAAATCCGTATCAAAAGCCTTTCATGTGCAAGTTTATATATCAGCGTTCAACAGCAAAATGGTTAAGGTGTTAGTGTTGGGAACTACTGCTAATCAGTTCAATCCTGGCCGAAGTAACATAGTAAAATAAAATTTTTAGAAGTTGCTAAAGTCTAAAAATGTATCTGCGTCGCCGAGTGGTTACAACGTTAGCGTCTCGATCGTGAGACCCTGGTCCGAATCTCACTGCAGTCTATTTGTCAACGAGGGCACGTCTTGATAATATCAGCTTGGGAAGAATATAACATTGTGCTCGAGAACCATACCACGTTCCAAATCTCATCCTAGTCGATTTTTTAAGGATGTGACTTATTGATAATATGTACCTGGAATGACAATCCCAGCTTCATAACCACGGTGAAATGTCTTCTGTCTCAAAATGTAGACACTCATTTTTACCTTCGTTTGTTTTCAATAAAACAGGTTATCTTATAAGTAATGCCTGATGATGATGATGATGATGATGATTTAACATATTCTAAAATGATTTGTCAGAGAATTGGCTTCTTCATGTTATCGGCCCGAAAAGCTGCCTCAAAACCCGGCCACGGAAAACTCAGCATTGCGAGTAACATTGGGTAAGGGAAACTGTGCGGGAGCCGCTGAGGGTTGTGCTCGCTCCGAGTCATCATGACCGAAGGTTTGACTATACAGAGGATCA